CCTGTGTGGCGACCCGCGACCATGGAGATATAAACAGCTTTTTATAAGGTAAAAATAATAAAACAAGGTCTTTGTCTGCAATGATTAGACATGTTTTTTATTATTGTCATTAGTGATTATCTCAATTTCGGCTAAAAGAATTGGCAAAATCCTACACACTGTGCCTTTAAAGTATGTGTTGTGAATGACTGTCAGGCACAACCACCCCAGATTTTAGCTTCATATCTATAAAACTGCATACGATGTAGTTATAGATGCCTTTTTAAATTGGGTTGACTCCAAAAGTGAATCAATTGTAGATGTCTTTCTGCTACCAGTAAATATTTAAAAGTTGACAATAATAAAGTAAATCTATAAATGAAGTCCATATAAAAGAAACAAATCACTCAACAGCACTGATTTATTTTAGGTTAACATGGCAACTAAAGCAGTGGGTGGAAGACAGAAGAGGCACAAGTGTGAAATTAATCAAAAAACACAACCAGTAGAAGATAGAGCTGGAGTCACGAACCGTTTGGACCAGCGGTAACAAGCCTGACCGTGGCCGCAGCAGTTCAGTCCAGGTATACGATGTCCTCCTGAACGCTTGTAGATCATCCCTTCTCTGCAGAAAACGAAAGGAATTAAAGTCTTCTGAACACGTCAAAAATATCTCTAAATGAGAGATGAGTTAGGTCCTCATATTGAAAATAAATTACATGTTCTGTAAAAAAAAAACAGTGCTAATGCTAAAATTAGCTTAAGCTAAAGGCGGCTAGACACTTGCTAAAAGCTACAACTAGTAAAAGCTAACCAAAACACTAAATTATAAGTATCAAATAGCCATCTAAAAAAAACAAATGGTAAAAGCTAAACAAAAAAAAACAAACAATCTAACAAAAGCCAAAAGCAGCTAAATTCTATCTAAAAATCTAAATGTATTAAAATGTAAGTTTAAAATTAAAATGGCAAAATGTTAACTAAAGCTGTAACAAAGCTGAAGGTTAGCTAAAATGTAAAGTAGCAGAATAGTAGCTAAAAGCTAAAAGTGCAAAAAAAGCAAGTAAGCTAAAGTAGATTTTAAAAAAGAACAATGTAATGGAAACTGGAGAGATTTTGATATATTTCTTTGGATTAAATATTCGTAAATTAAGTAAAGTTACAACAAACAAATGTCTTAACATAGTTCCCAATCAAGCTGAACATTTTGATAAAATATTGGCCAAAGACGATGTGGAAGTAGCTTCATTGCACGAACGCACAGAAGCAACAAACAATAAAACAGTGTGAATGCTGATTCAGCAATAAAACAGAAAATGCTCACAGTCCTTTGGGCCCCAAGTCATGAATGAAAGACATCTGGCTGACGTCAATGAACTCCATCTGAGAAATGACAGGGAGGAGAAAACAAATTGTTTAATTTAGTGAAACTTTAATAAACAGGAAACAAACTCAGGAGTATACAGTATATTTTGCCACGTCAGATACTAGAAATAGCTTCAAATGAGGCATCATACTAATGTTAGTATACTACAGGCATGTTGCCATAGAGATGCTTGGTTTTAAGGCTCATTAAACTACTGATTATAATCTTTATTCTTCATAAAAGGAATTTTTAAGTAAAAGTAGTCAAGTGATGAAATAAAATACATATTAAATAATAGATATGATGTCATTTCTTTTTTCAATCTAAAATAAAAGGATGTCCTGAGTCTTTTGACTCAGCCTGTAGCTGCGCAGCCAGTGACTTCTTTCAGGGAGTTTTAGTAAAATATGTCCAGTTATTTATGAGATAAAATACAGACAAAGCCAGAACATTATTGCTCCACATTTGCATTGGCTCATGAGCAATAAAATGCTGCAAAATGTTTGGTTTGACAGTATATTTAATTTATTGGCTGACAGAAATGTCAAACCCAGGGTTTTGTGATGGTTACTGTTGTATTTTATTATATTTATGTTACTTAACTTTAAATATACAAAAGTTTTAACATTTCAAATAATAAAAAATGGACATTTAGATCTTTATTTAAGAATTTTCTAGTTTCTGGCAACTTTGGAGACTGTGGTTTAACAGTGTAGTGCACACATCTGGTTTCATTGTCAAATCCAGATTTTCATGGACCCAAAATTAGGCTCATACCCTTAAACCCTCTGTGTCTCTCCTGCTTTATTTGAGTGTGGTCCCTGGCTTGATTTACCATACCATACCATACCATACCATACCATACCATACCATACCATACCATACCATACCATACCATACCGTATCATACCATACCATACCATACCATTTTTATTTATTAAGCAATTTAAACAGCACAAGGCCAACCAAAGTGCTGTACAATAGACGTACACAACAGGACATAGTTTAAATTTCAGTCAAAATACAAATCAAAACACGGAGCTTTTATATTCACAGTAAATATAGGACAAAGTTATGATACACAGTGAGGTTTTGCACCATCTCACTCAGACTCAAAGGCAATGGAGTAGTAGTGTATTTTTAAATGAGACTTGAAGATGGCGAGGGAAGAGGACGGTCTGATACAGCCGGTTCGGATGTTATTAGTCCATTAAATGGATGTTATTAGTGGTTATCAGTCCCATAGAATGGCTTCAGACTGTCCCAGCAGTGCCCCCTAGTGGGTTACCAGTGCCATATACATTGGAATGTAACAAACTGCTACTGCAGGAGTCTGGTCTACTTTATATTAGCCCATGTCATTTTCTCTAAAACTAACCTTAGTGGCTTTATGCCTCATATTAACCAGCTGACAGTCTGAAGCCATTCTATGGGACTGATAACGGCTAATAATGCCCATTTAATGCAGTGTTTCCCAAAGTTGGGTTCGGGACCCAAAGTGGGGTCCCGAAACATCAAGGTGGGGTCCTGAAAAGATTTTCTGAATTAATTACATTTTTGCTTTAGTTCCTACAAAGGAGTGAGGTTAGTATATTTTAAAATGGATAAATGTAGTATAAAAAATATTGTTACTGTGCCCATGTTTAGTTGACCTGATATAAATGTTTATCATCCAAAAATAGTTGGGGGCACAGGTCTCTGCTACTGTTATTTTGTGGGTCAAAAGCTGAAAAGTTTGGGAACCACTGCACTTTGGTTCCCAAAGTTGGGTTTGGGACCCAATTATGGGTCATGAAGCACCTTGGATAATCTCCAGAAATCAACTTAAAGGATAATAAAATAATTGCTGTTGTAATATTTTCCCTATAATTATTACAAAAACACAAAATAAGTATAAATAAGTATTTATATGTGTGTACAAGCTGTTCAGATTGTCAAAAAGCCTGTGTTTTTAGGGTTATTAACGAAGTTCGTGTACTCAGACCAGTAATATTTGGGGTCACAAGTTTTTGCCATGGACATTTTGTGGGTCAGAAGATAAAAAGTTTGGGAACCACTGATTTAATGGATGATAACATCCGAAGCAGGTGGTCTGACATGTAGTGGTAGATCATTCCACAGTTTTGGACCTGCTACAGAAAAGGATCTGTCACCTCTCAGTTTAAGACGAGAGTTAGGGACCTTCAGAACCAGCTGACCAGATGATAGAGCGCTGTAGGACAAGTTGATGCACTAGATCTGAGAAGTAAGAGGGGGCGGAGTTGTTTAGGCATCAAAAGACATACAGGATGATCTAAGTGAATTCTAGCTAGAACAGGAGTATGTTCTCTTTTTCTTGTGCCAGTTAAAAATCGGGCTGCTGCATTCTGAACCATTTGTAAATGAGCAATGGAGGACTGGCTGATTCCATATAGCAGAGCATTACAGTTATCCAGCCTGGATGTAATGAACACATGAATTACTGTCTCCAGATTTCTATTTGACAGGATGGGTTTTTAACTTGGACAGTCTCCTCAGCTGAAAAAAGCAGGATTTAACAATGGAGTTTGGATGGATCCATTTTTACACCAAGGTTGGTGACAAGTTGTTTTTCAAACGGGGCCAGAGTGGAAAGGTTGATGCAAGTGTTACTGTTGGCTGGTTATTGTGTGACTCTTTGCACTGTTCGGTGTATTTACTCACAGTATGGTGGTATTTGCGGTACATGGCCATCCTCAGCAGCTTGTTCAAATAGTCCTCTAACTGTCTCTGTAGAAACACACACATACTTCACTTCAACAGAGGGTTTTAATTAGAACACTAATGAAAATCTATGGAAATGAGCACCATTATGCACACACAGACAGGCAGGGAGAGTTTTAGAGGAAACGTGTTGGCATGGAGTTGAGTGCCATGACAACCAACGGCTGCAGGCAGAGCTGAGCACAATAAAGCTGAGATATTAAAGCAGGAAACAAGCCGAGAATCTGAACGCTGCCACGTGACGTACTCTCCTGCTGGAGACCTGCTCGTCTCGCACCAGCTCGTCTCCTCCCCCCCTGGGCAACGAGGGCATCTCCCTCACCTCGCTCTTCCTCACGGTCTTCCTCCTCACGGTGTGGCTGGAAAGGAGGAAATGAAAGGAATAAACCTAACGTGGCTTGGTTTTTGGAGATAATCGGTTTTTGGAGATACGGTTTCATGGCGTGCTTGTAAACTCCCCCCCAGTTATAGGAAGTTCTAAGTGTTGCAGCAGGAAATTGGGAAAGAAAAGTGGTTTCAGTGGCTGCAAACTACGGTCGTTTTCATGTAGCTGCTTTAACAAGTGTTTCGATCAACTGAACAACTGAGGCTGTTATTGTGCATCAGAAAAGGTTTGACTTAAATTTGAAAAAACGTGGCAATTAGATGTTGATGAAGTTTTTTTCATGAAAAGAAGCATTATGTAAGGCACCCACTTATCTCCAGTACACAATAAGATGAAGAGATAAACAGGAACACTCAGAAAGCAGCAAAGCTGGATAAATCCAAGAATAAAGTTCTACCATTATTACTTGAAGAAATGCATGTCACCCGCCGCCTTTCATGTCACATTTTGGCATGTCATTCTCAGACTGAGTGACTCTCAGTTAACGCTGCCTTAAACTGTAGCTCCGTCTCTGTAAATTAACTGAGTTATAATCATTTCTGTGTTTTTAAAGGCAATTAACTATGGCAGGGATCTTGAATTGTGTGGTTCATGGCATTTTTTGACAGATAGCTGATTCCAAAAATTAATGGCAAATTTTTAAACACTTTGTAAGAACAGTTACTGCTTAGAATATAAGACCAGTCTTGTCCTGATCAGTAGTTAATCCAGGTAGAAAAATCATAAAACCGTTGGTCCTCTGGGCGGGTTCTTCTTTAATGAAACATTTCGTCTCTCCTCAAAGAGACATCTTCTGTCTGAGGAGTTTCAGGTAAACTCAGCCTTATAAGCACTGTCTCCACATGGTGGACAAACAAGTTTAACGATGAACATCAACACTTTCTGTTCACATGCAAAGGAGGACCATCAGCCTAACAATATTAGTGCCCTGATTCACACATATTCATACCTACATGGTGCTGAGTCATACTTGCAATGACAGCATTGTAGGAGGAGGACAACTGGACACGAAGGCCTCCACCTCTGTTTAATGATGGATGGTTTTTCTTCACAAAAATGGCTTCTTTTACTCCTCTCTCAAACCAACGTTCCTCTCTATCAAGGATGAGAACATCCTCATCTCTGAAAGAGTGACCACTGGCCTGTAGATGAGTGGAAACTACAGATCCTGACCTGATGATGTAGCTCTTCTGTACTGGTTCATTCTTTTGAACAGTGGTTGCTTTGTTTCCCCGATGTATAACTGGTCACAGTCCTCCTGGCACTTAACATCATATACAATATTACTCTGTTTTTGCTGGGGAACTGGATCTTTGAGGTGAACCAATTTTTGCTGAAATGTGTTTTGGGGTTTGAAAGCCACTGGGACGTCATGTATTTCATGTGTCAAACTCAAGGCCCACAGGAC